TTCTGTGTATGGGACTCATTCTTGGCTTTAAAGTTAGATGGCTGTGATAGTGACAAATATTACATCCAGACACCGAATGGGCACTGGAAGGACAGGATGGAACTCTTACTTCATGCGTCTGTTTTTAAGTGTGAAGAACTCTTTCCCAGAAGCTCCAGCCGACTTCCCCAAGACTTCTTTTGTGCCATTAGCAGGAATTGCATAACACACCCAGGCTTAAATCAACCATGGAAAAAGGAAACAGGCCCACCACATTTGGCTTAGAGCCCAACTCTTGGGATTGAGGATGTGGCCTGAAGCAGAGCAGTGGTGAATAGCTAAACAAAATCAAGATTCTTTTAGGAAGGAGGTGGAAGGATGGATATTGAGTAAATATAATACCCAATGTTCTGCCCCAACTTGTGGTTAAAAAAGAGATGGCTATTTTCAATGGGAATGGTCTGCAATACCTGGAGGCCCCTCTGTGAACCCTGTCTCTATACTGCTCCTCTCTATGGCAGGTTTTATAATCTAGGTTGTTCTTTGCTTAAGTAGTGCCATTCGGCATTGGGTACCTAAATGCCAAAAGGGGCCCAAGAATGCAGGAAGTTGGCAGGGAGGCTGCTCTATTACTTAAGAACCGTCATTTATTTCCTGGTTTTAACATGCCAAACAGATTTGGGAAAAGGTCACTCTGAGGACAAAAATCCTGTCCTTGGAATGCTTTGAAAAAATAGGGATGCCTAGTCCAAAGAGCCAATATTACCAGTGAGCTTTGGGCTCCAGAAGGAGTTGTATTTATCCAAACCCAGTCTTGACCAGTGGACTAGGGGCCTGGGCATTTGGCAACACTGGAGGTCAAGGAGCAGAAGAGGAGAAAGTAGGTAGAGGAGAATGTGAGGCCAAAGAAGAGGACTGGGTCATGGGGACAAGGGATGTACAGCCCAAGCCAGCGTGCTCTCTCTTCTGAAACAGCTGTTGGTCTTCTTCTCACTGCCCCTGCATAACTCCAGGACTTTGTCCTTGATTTTTTTTATAATCCAGGGAAGATTGTGGTATTGTAAAGCTTTTGACAGCATGTTCAGGAAAAGAAAATATAATACAATGAAATAGCCTAGAGGTAAGACAGTTGGATATGTCAAACTCAAGTGCAAAAGCTCAATGCCACTCAGTATTTTCACTTTCAAGGGAAATGGATTTTCAAGGAGAATAAACTGAATGAGAATTCTTAGGGAAGAAATGATTAAGGATTAGAGGTAAAGAAAGGAGAAAGACAGGGTCAAAGTGGTCACAGATGGAAGCCAGGGACTGAAATGTCATTTTCCTGCAGTGGTATGTGACTTGTCCGTGATTCATCGTGTGGTCTCAGCAGAAATGACAAGAGCAATCACATCAGAATGGAGCAGCCCACGGTAAGTGCAAGATCTGATTACATCAGTTATTTTCCATATAGGAGCTGGGCTTCTAGTGTCCACAGGCTGAAATGTCATTAAGATCACTATCCAGGAGAAGTTTCAACTCAGATGCGTCTTCCTTAGTGGTGAAAAAGCAAACAAACAGGAAAAAATACACGACAGCAAACCCACCACCACATTATACCAACTTGCCTATACCGTCCTCTAGAGTCCAGAGCATTCTAGACTATTCTGTTTGGTTACAAAGTTGAGTCTACTGCTGAAATGACGACTTGTCCGTAGTTTGCAGCCAAGGCTCAGATGGAAGTAAAGGGACCTTAACAGATTGTCCAGGAGACAAGAACCTAAAGGGTGTGCAGTGACTGAGGACTGGGTAATTGAGGATAAGCCAAGTTGAAGCATGAAAGGAAGTAGATAGGAGGGAGGTGAATGCTTACAAAGGAAAGACAGTTAGTTAGCTAAACTCAGTTTCCATAGAAAAACTAGGGGAAGTGAAGAAGTAGGGGAGATCAGCCCACTGTGGCTCAGCCAAGTCTCATGATATCCTAGAACATTGGTCATTGCTGCTGAGATGCCTCAGTAGGTCAAGTGACACAGCTGCCACTCTATTGTCACCCCTCAGGATGAGGCATCATTTCCCCTTTCCTCTATTTAGCCTGCCACCTTCTTAAGTCTTTTATCTTCACCACTACCACAGAAACGCTTTGGGTCACGCCAATGCATGGGCTGTTGGCCACTTGTACAGTACTCCCTTTGACTGAGGAATCAATCCTAGTCTAACTGACCAGGGAACTAGGATCACAAAAGCATGCGACCTACCTACAAGGATCCACTTCTGTAGTTCAAGGACCATTTATTTTTAAAAAGGAGACCACACTGGAGGACTTGTGCCGGGGGATGATCATCAAAAAGCCTCCACAGGGATCCGGACGATGCTGCGGTTGTGGCTGCATCCAGCCCACCGTCTCCTGGACTTGCCATAAGAAGGAGGAGGGAGATGTCTAGGCTGGCATGTCCATACAGTGAGACAACGAATTTGACTGGATCTGTACTGTTGGAACTCAACCAGGAGTTGGGAGGGGTGCAAGTTGTAGCACCCCAAAATCTCATGACTATAGACTATCTATGGTTAAAAGAACATATGGGATGTGAACAGATCCCAGAAATGGGCTGCTTTAATTTGTCTGATGGTTCAATTACAGTTGGAAAATATCCATCATATCATAGATAAATTTTCACAAATGCCTAGGGTGCCTAAATGGTTTTCTTGGCTTCACTGGAGATGGCTGGTAATTATAGATTTGCTTGTTTATGTCACCGTATTCCTATTATGTTAATATGTGTGTGCAAATTAGTTAGTAGTTTAAAACCTATACATACTTAAGGTACTATACAAGAAGATATGTCAAAGAAATAATCAATCCTCCCAAGTTTCCTTCATATGCTACATCTATAGCTTTTCTTCTTCCTTCCTAATTACAAACCTTAAATAGAATTCGTGCCTCATATCGAATTTACCGAGTATCATAATTCCTCCAGGTGGTAAAGATACCTCGAGACAAGTGCTGGGCATAGAAGCCACAGGGCATAAATCTGCAAAGAAGTAAAAAGCTAACCTTTGCAAACAATATGGCTTCTCTCTCACTTACCAACTTTACATTTCCCTGTATGGCCCCGGAAGATGACTGGTTAGCCAGAGACGGGTAAGATTCCTCAAGGGAGGAACAACCTAAGACAGGCACAGTCGCAGGGGGGCCATCAGGTGAGAATTTGGGGATCAACAGAGGTGAGGCTCAGAACCTCACCCCCCCTGCTTTGAGAGAAATCTTCTGCATCCGTGGATGTCTTGCTGCCCTTGTCTAGCCTGGATTAATACTTAGTCCATAGGCACACACCTGATCATCTGATCATCTACATTTGCCTTCTTACAGCACTAAACTATGTTTTCTACCTTTATCTTGCATCTACCTACCACTTCAGCATTTTATTAAAAATAAAAATAATAATAATAATAGGAGAAATGTGGGATCAACATATAAATCAAGTACAAAAATCAAATGAATATTCATATTTGACCTGATGGTTTATAGGTCATATTGCATGATCAAAACCGAAAGTTTCTGTGATGAATGCCCTTGTACTGTTCACCATGTAAGAATTTATTCACTCTGTAAGAATTCGTTCACCATGTAAGAACTTGTTCGTTATGCTTCAGAAGATTGGAGACTGACGAGAATTAGGCTTGAGATGGATTAATGATTGTACATTGAGCATTGACCCCCCTATACTGAATTTTATTGTTGTTAACAACCATTTGATCAATAAATATGAGAGATGCCCTCTCAAAAAAAAATAAATAAATAAAAAATAAAAAAAAAATAAAATAAAAAGGAGACCACAGGCATGGCAAGCACTCAGTGTTTCACAGACACCTCTCTGGCAGGAGACCTTACCACTAGATGGGGTTTACCCCAGTTGTCCAGGCTTGAAGATCTCAAATTGGGATGTACTCTTATAACTAAAATATCCACAACAGCATCACAACAGCATCTTGGGGGTTTTTCCCCCAAGATTCAGAATCTCTCCTTTGGACAAAACTTTTCAAAAAGCCCTATTGTACTTCTCTTTTAATTATATGTTGGACCCTATGTATACGATACTGCTTCAGCACCACCACACCCTCTCAGCCTGTCTTTGCCTTCCAGCCACTGCTGCAGTGACCGGCAACCAGGTGTATGAGTTACTGACAGCACCTTCCGCAGCAGGATTCTGATACATCTGCAACCCTGAAGTGTAGGGGAGTTAACCTTCCAGGGAAAACTCTGACCCATGTAACAGAAATACTCCCTTCTTTGGTTCTCAGACAATCCATTTGGAGGTGCATCCTGCACAGCTCATCAGAGGATCCCCAAAGGACTGAGTCCCAGTGGCCTAGAGCAGTGACCAATTTGATACCACACCATGGAATTGGCGTTCCCTCCTTCCCTGTCTCTCTCTTCCCAGTCCCACTCCTCCCCCCTGAGATCACCTCCCAAAGTGAACTAGCTGCATGAAAGCCCTTGCTTGAGGCTCTGCTTTTTGGGGAGGACCCAACCTATGATGGATTTAAAATGTATCTTGATAAAAACTGACCTTGGCAGCTTAGAGGTATGAGGACTTTGAAATGATGATACCATTTGAAAACTAGTTCAAATAGGATTTAATGGAGTGTGAAACTGTAGTTATAAATTAATGAGTGTACTTAGTAAAAAGCTTTGCACTGATAAGGAATATGAAAAGTCAACTGAAATATTATAATTATCTTAATGGTTAAAGCATCTTGTTTACTAGTATGTCAATTATTTTGACACTTTTTCTTGGGGAGGTGGTGAAAGCAAGGAGCTCCATTTTTTAACATCCTTAACATATCATTATAAATCATTTACCAAGTGCTCACACACGTGCCACCCATGATGGATGACACAATCAAAATGCGTATGCATTTCCTGGGCTTCAAGGAAATTTTTACTAAATGCTTTTAAGCCACAATGATGTGCCTAATACTGGATCTTGACTGATCTGTCAAAACCTTAAAAGTTGTTACTCAAAAAGAAAAGAAAACAGACATCTAGTCAATCAACTTTATTTTTAATTGCCCAAATGTGTCCTGACCTTTGTATCCAGATATAATGGAGGATACAAAAGGAAGAAAAGGCCAGATTCTTATTCTCAAAAAATTAAAATCACATTGCACAAGACAGTTAAGATTTAAGGATATATACTGAGTAGCATCTGAGTAGGACATAACAACTTAATACAGAATAAAGCGACAGAAGGGGACACCATCAGCAACTTTGGCAGGGAGTGGAGGAGGGTGATTGGAGCATACATCCTGGGAAATGGGAAAAGCAGTGAACCTGTGTTCTTGTCCCCAAAATATCAGTGGCTCATTCAATTTGCTCAACTCTAAAATAGAAGGTGAGGACTAGACCATCTCAAAGGCCTTCCAGCTATGCCAGTACAGGATTCTGAGGACAAATGCGGAGAACTGGAAAGATGAGGATGATACAGGTAAGAGGAAGGACAAGCACAAAGCCACAGAGGTGGGAAAAAACTAGTTTTCCGTGCATAAGCAAGGTGTGTTGTGGGACATCAAAGACCTTAAACAAGCCTGCTTACCTACCATAAAGATTCCAGGGGGAGTAAACTTGGAAATGGGCACAACAGAGTGCTAAGCCAGGTAAGGGATAAAAAGCAAGTGCCAGGTAAGGAGCGATAAGCAAGAAAGAGCTACTGTGTTTCCTGTGGTTGGAAGTCTGACTTCTCTTCAGTGGCACCATCTCATTCTACAATCTTCATGTCTTTGTGGAACTTTGTTGCAAACCCTTCCCCAAACCTATACACCGAGTAGAGTAATAAGAGGGTGCGTTTACAGATGCCATCTCTTTAGAATCTCACAAGTAGCCCCCTTTTATGGACCAGGAAGCCAAGAGCAGTTGCTGTTGCGATGGTGGTCAATCCAATCAGCCTCAGCAGGCCTGGCACGGAGGGCAAATGTCTCTCCAAAAAGGTCATGGTAATTGGCCGTGCGGGGACATCCTGGGTTTAGAGAATACTTAGTGTCAGTACAGGGCTTGGACACTTTGCTCCAGAAAGTCTGTATTTCCTCCAGTTCTCTGAATATGACCCACTCTTGCTAACCTCAAGACCATTACACATAACATTCCCTTTGCTCAGAGTACTTACCCTCATACCCCACTGGGCCTTTTGCTTGACTAGTTTTTGGCTCAGTCTATACCTCCCTTCCTTGGGGAGCCTTTCCTGTGCCTTCAGGCTAGGATGGCCCCATCTTTTTATACTCTCAGCAGGTGTTCTTCATCACACTTGAGCTTTCTGGTTATCATCTGTTCTCCTCACCACAGGCTGGGCTTCAGTAAAGCCCTGCCATACCCTTATCACAACAGCTGGTGTGGAGTAGGTGTGCGGTAAATCTTTGTTGAGTTGGATGAATCTGTGGTCCACTAGGCCCTCAGTCCTATCTCTAACAGAAGTGCTAAGGGAATGCTTTGGACTGGCTGGGGCTATTTGACTTCACACTTGATAGTGGAATAACTTTGACCCTTTTGACCCCTGTCCTCAACAATGCATTTCATTCTATCCTCTATGTGTCCTTCTTTCTGGTCAGGAAAAGTAATTTCCTTCCATTGTCTATCTGCTGTTGAGAATCACCAGGTTAGAGATTTATTCAACAGGCATTTATTCAGTTCTGAATATGTCTAGAACTCTCTGACCAAACGAACAGTATGTTTTTCTTGATAATATGCAATGGATGTGGCAGCTGCCAGTTTATCAAAGTTCTTCTAAATCTCTCACCTCTGCCCTAACCCATGGTATCTCTTTAAACATTGATGGGTTGAATCACTTAGAGAAAGGTATGTGAATATATACAAGTGTATTCTCTTTGCAAATAATTGTTGTTAGAAGAAAGGGATTTAAATTCATGAAATAAAATGTAACCTACCACAGACTCTGGTTCTGACTGCCAGATTTCATCCTCTGGGATCTTCCCCATGGCATGCAAGATCTGAAAAGAAAGACTATCTTGGCAAATAACAGAGTGACACCATTTCTCCTAATCTGCTTTTTAAAGTCTAATTGAATGTCTCTTGGGATCACCAGCAAAAATACCAGAGTAAAAGCCAACACGTCATCCACTCAACCTTTAAAAGGCTCCAAAAGGTCTAGTCTATGACAAAAGAGATTCCAGCCATTAGATTCACCATAAATTTTAGTTGTTGTGAACATGTCTTCATGGGGATGTTAGATTAGGTTATCTCACAAGTATAGCCACAGTGATCATTTGCCCTATGTGCTCTTTTTACCATGGGTGACATGATAGATACCTCCATTGTTACTTTGGGGCTAAGGTGTTCACTTCACCTGAAGCTACTGTTAAAGTGGTGTTCTTCCAATGGAGGTTACTGGGGAGTTTAGGATCTCAGACATCATTGACCTGCTTAGCAAGCCCATGAGTTGCCTCCTTCCCCCACAGCCCATGGCCTCAGGCCTTACCTCTCGGGCTGCTCTCTCCCCAGCCTCCACAGCCCCCTCCATGTAGCCACTCCAGTGTGTGGCAGTCTCGGTGCCTGCAAAATAAATCCTGTCCACTGGCTGGCGTAGAACCCTTGAAACAAAAGCACAGGGGTAAAATTGATCAGTCTCAGAAAGCCAGCGAAGAGTCTTCCCACAAAGACCAAGGCTGGTTGGTTTCCTCAGATTCTGAACATCAGGAGTACACCGGCAGTTTCGGAATGAGGTTCACAGGTTCCTCCAGCTCTTGCATGTTCCCTGTCACAGACAAAATGGCATAAAAGCCAGAGTCCACTTCTATACCAAGAGCTTCCAGGTATAGGGCCTGACATCAGTGGAGTATATATTTGCTTCACCTACATGAAGTGAGCGACTAAGTGAGCCCGGTCACATACTGCTCCTATTATGATTCACCAGCTCTGAGCAAGGTGACACATGCCCCCAGTTCCCTACCAGTGAACTTGATAAATCACTTCCTCTCACTGAGCTCCAGCTTCCTCATCTCTCAAAGGGTACGGCCCAATGATTTCTAAGACCTTTTTCATCAATAATGTAACAAATATGTGAGTCTCACTAAGGCTCCAAAACTACTATTCATTGAGCACTTACCTCTACCAGTGTTAAAGAGTTCTACTCCATTAAATTCTAACTGTTAACATTTGTTGGGTGCCAGGTCCTCTTCTAAGTGCATTAATCCTCATCAGTACCATTATTATCCCCATTTGGCTGATGAGAACATGGAGGTTCAGCCACTGTGGTGGACATTGTCATGCATAGCCCAGACCCTCCTCAAGAATGAGGGACTTATTCCCAGTCTCAGGGAGGGCTGTCAGCAGATGGCCTTGGATGTCAGTCTTCTTTGGAGATTGGCTCTGCTGAAGAAAATTGCCTCATTCATGATCATGCCTCTCTCCAGCAGCAGTTGCATCTGGTGGTGGATTGTCATGGGGCTATAAACACCTGACCCCTTGCTCCAACTTGCAGCAACTCCTAAACCCCAGAGAATAATACCCTAGCTTCAGAGCTCCCCGTGGGTCAGCTGAGACCTTCACTGCAACTGCATCACAGCCCAACTCTGCCCTCTGCCCACTCCTGTTTCCTTCCTCTCCACAGTTGCCGATACCAGGGGCTCTCCCTAGCACATATCCCGTATGCTAATCTTTGTGTCAGAATCTGCTTGGAGAATCTCACCAGCACCAAAGAGAAAGTAATTTGCTCTGTTGAGTGGCAGAGCTGGTATCTGAACTCAGGCCATCTCACTCCAGAGCCCACTGTCTTAACCACCTAGTTATATTTCCTCCCTCTTTTGAATTATTTTTTTAAATCTTTTTCAAGAACTTTATGACATAGCTACTATTGTCATTATCCCATTTTACACATGAGGAAACTGAGGCTTGGAGAAATGTGCAGCAGCTTACCAAGAGCCACACTTCTAGAAAACAGCAGAACTAGGATTTGAACTGAGTCTACCAGATGTCAAGGTCTACGCTTTTATCCTCTATGCTTTGCCTCCTGTATCGTCATATCTAGCTAACGAAGAATGTCCATATGCCACGAAAAGGGACAGAAGTGTCACAGCAACTGGCTTTAAGGGGGAAGTTTGTTGTTACCCTAACAAAAATACCATAAGGGAAGCATCACCAACATGTCATTATTTATCTTATCCCAGGTTTCCATTATATCAGGTAAGGGATGTGAATGTTCACTGCTAACAGCCCTGCTCTCAGTCACCATTGCACACCACCAAGCCTTTTATCAGAAAACCGAATTGGCTAGCTTGAATCGATGGCTGACCCTTATTGTAGCTGTCAAGAAAAAAAGGGGTAGAAAGTAGAAGAGAAGATATTATAGAGTATGAGAATACTGCTAATAATACTGGAGTAATCTGCAATGATCCAAATCCAGCATGGACGGGAGAGCCTAAGGGCATTAGGGAAGGGTTCCCTGCAGGAGAAGGTAAATTTGTTTTCTTGTCATCCATTAAACAATGCTGCTTTCACCATGTTTGCTTTTTTTCAGAGGGAACTAAACCCCAAACTGGAAACCTCTGGGAGGCCTGGCCAAATCCTAGAATGAACTATTAGAAGAGACAATAAGGCTTAGCGCATTAATCATGCTAACAAGCAGAATGTAAAAATGTTAACAACCAAGAATTTATTTCAAACAAAGAGATATTTTTTCCTCCACTTGTTGTGTGGAAATCTTTCCTTAGGGAAAGAAAAGTCCAGGAGCTAGAGAAGAAAAATTCCTGCCTCTTCCTTTGCAGGTGAGCGAACACACAGTGTATATTCACAAAAAAGGATATTTCCATGCATATTTCTCTTGACTTGGTGGAGCAAAACATTTCCTTATGTGTGTTGCTGCTTAATCACTGCAATCAGTTTTTCAGTATATCAAGAAGATAGTTCCTTTAGAAATATGTGTTTATTTCGTTACTAAAGTTGTGCTGTCAAAACTGCCCTCTGTTTTCCATCTGGAAACCAAACATGTTCTGTGTTCTTCCAGGGCCATGAACATAAAACTCCTTGTAGTATCCCAGTGAAGAGTTCCAGACCTGAAGGGTCAAGGGAAGCCCTGTGGGCAGACAGTCCCTGCTCAGGCTAGGAGTTATGTCACCAAATAGGCTATGCCTTAGTTTCTACCTGACAAATTGAAGCTAGCGATATGAAGCTTGACACATGTCCCTGGGAAAGAATAATGATGGAAATAGTGCTTTGTCTTGCTTCTCTCGTGTGGTCAGGGGCAGGCCAGTGTGGGTGAGTGTCCTTTTTGCTTTTCCCATCCCACTGCCCAAAAGACATTTTCCTGACACAGCTTACAGGACTGAGACTGAAACTTGCCACACCATGGCCAGAAATCTAATCACATCACAAAACCCAAAACAAAAGTAATGCTTTGATTGGCCTTTCTCTGTTGAAAGATCAAGTTTTATATTCCTGAATATGTTACATGAATCAAAGGATCCTATCTACCTCTCTGATGCTCCATTCCATCCTCAGTATCACCCAGAGTCTAGCCAGGCAGAGCTCTTCCCCAGGAACTTGTAGGATTCCAAACATCTGCTCGTACAGTCCCATCCACCTAGAGGGCAACCCCAGTAGCCTTTCTCTGCCTGCTGCAACCCTCAGGTGGTATGTGATTGTGAAGCTGGCTCAGATTTCTCTAGGTAAGGCCAGTCTGTCCCTCTCTGGGTTGCTATGGTATTTTTCTGCCCCTCTATTAGGGTGCTTACCACAGTGCATTAGAGCCAACTTCTTCCCATCCCCACCCAGCCTCCAGCACCGTCAGCTCCTTCACAGCAGAGGGCTTTGCTTGGTGTGGAAGCTTTCTACCCAGAACTTGGCAAATGGTTGGCACTTAGCCAATAAATGCTGAATGAAACAATTGCTCTTGGCATATTCTACACTCAGCATGTCTAAAAATTAACTTAATGACCCAGTAGCTAATCAGGTGGTGCCCTTTGGCCCCAGAATGTTCTTATTGAGGCTATTTTGCTCACCAAAGTCATTATGTAGCTTCTCACAAGCAGGTTGTAATCCTTCTTTCACCACTTCTCATGGACAAATCAATTAGCCATTTCCATTTGTTCATACCTCTTTTTACTGTATACCCTCAAGAGCCTTTGACTCACTACATTTCTTACTTTGTTTAGATTGCATTCTTGGCATTAAATTATTGCTTGGTTTACTATTACTATAATGACCGTAATAATTACTATTATTAATTCATGCCTTGTGGTTGTCATCAAATGCAATTAACCGAACATCAATGAGTCATAGTTCGACCCACAACACTGTGCATGATAAAATCCACTGAGCTGTACCCTTTAAATGGGTGAGTCATGTGGTATGCAAATTATATCTCAATAAAGATGTTAAAAAATAACTCATGTTTCATTAACATACTGGTTATTATCCCTTGTATGTTGCCATCCTGTCCTTTTTCGTACGCCTAAGAAAAGTAAGGATGACAAAGTTTGTTATTGATAGAATCAGGACCGGAACCCCAGCCTAGAACTTTTATAACACCGTTCCCATGTTGGCACTTGTACACTTCCATTTGAGGAAGGTTTATTGAGCTCTAAACTCAGTATAAAGCCACTTCTGACAGTGTAAATGAACCCCCTGACTAAATTCCCATTTCTATGCTGCAGCTTGTTTCGCTTATATTGATTGGGGTTGCTCCTTTGGAGGAACTAAGAGAGCAAGGCACCACCGTGATGCAGAACTAGAATGCCTTCATTCATGAGATTGACAAGACACAAAGAAAACTGAAGATTTCTTTTTTTTTTTTTTTTGTAGCATTTACTAGAAAAAAGGGAGAAGAGCAACATGAGCCTATTTAGGGTTTGGATTCAGATTCTGGGAATTTCAGTCAGAGCTTAGCACTTTTACTCTACCTTCCATATTGAGTCATGATCCCTGGGGGAAAGTAGGTCGTGTAGCAGCCTCCAGAATATTGTTCCTCACACCAGTTCTTCTCTTCATAGTGCACCGGCTGCAAGAGAGTGACAGAGGCTCAGAGGAGACTCAAAGGGAGCTATCTAGTCTCAAATCAATCAAACACAGTCCAGTAGGCCACCTATTAGAATTAGAGAAGGCTTCCAATATATGTCTGAAATGGATCCTTTTTATCCTGATGTTTTTAGAGATATGTCTTTGGACAAATGTCTTTAGTAATAAACTTCTAGAAAATTCTGACTTGAGAAGGTTTTCACTTGGTTCATTGATGTCTCAGGTACTGTTCATAAACTGCAATTGTCTAGTTACATTTTTAATTTGGTCTTACCCACTAAGAAGTTTTTAGTGCCTAATGGTTTCAAGACAAGTTTAAAAAATTATTTATGCTTACTGGAATGGTTGGAGCAGGAAAAAAAGCAGAAAAACATGTCTGTCAAGGAAAAGAATGACCAGATTCACATTTTCGGTGGAAGTGAAGTTTATTAAGGGAAGCTAGGGAGAATGAGTGAATAAGGAAGCTAAACAGAAAAAAAATATATCATGGGATATAGGCAGTTCTATTGATGGTGGAATGTGAAAACAACTATTGACTTGAAAAATTTGTTTTTGCCAAGGAGAGGCAAAATATTAGCTGACTAGATTTTGCAAAGCTCGGGATCTTTATTGAAAATAACTAAACATAAGTGTTAAGTATTATTTTGAAAAGAGAAAATCAACATGGCAAGTCTTAAGAGGAAGACATTAGTTTAAAAATAGATTTTGAAAAATATTTTGTTTCTAGAATTTGCCATCACATACGGGGCTTTGGGGAGTCATTTGTAAGTCATCCTATTTACAAAGCACGAGGCCCTGTCTGAGGGGTGTTAACTGGCTCTAGGCCTCTAGTGGTGTGCCCAGGTCTCGTGTCCAGCCCTCTCCCCTCTCTGTGTCCCAGGGTGACCACCACTTCATGAGCACCCCTCTCTGGCTGTTCCCAGCCAATCAGAAGAAAGGTTGGACTTCACCTTTCACCTTTCCTTGCCCTCAGGGCTTGCTTCCTTCCAACCAATAGACACAAAAGCAAGAGCAAAGCAAATGGCCCTTCTATGTCAAGAGCAAAGATAGGACCAACTCATTTTCATCATCAAGGATTAATCCTCCACATTCTTCTTAGAAAAAGAGACTTTCCCACATTAACATGATCAACTTTTTTGGAACTTGAGATCACCTGCTTTCCTCTCCCACTGGGGTCCCCCAAACAACCATCTGACAGGTTGTTGGGGGAATCTCAGCTACACACTGTTTCAGCCTAGGAGTGTCTCCAAACATAACTTCAAAAAAGCTTGGGTATCTACCAGGACAAACTATCTTGAACAGCGTTTTCATAGCTAGTAACTTTTCATAGCTGTGAAATGAAGTTTTTTTAGTGTGCATATAATTTTGGTTTTACTACTTCACTCACACTGGCCTCGAGCTTAGAGGCTAGGCTTAATTTGCTAAATGGTCTATGAAAGCAAAAAATCAAACAAAGCACATTCCTCATTATAATGACATTTCTCTCCAAACCAACCAATTATTCTTGTTCATTGGCTGAGAAAGAACTCCCCAGATCCTCAAAAGCAAGTGTTTCACCTAGATCAAGTACAGGGAAACAAAATCTTGCTTTAAAAGCATGAACAAAAACGACAGATTCGAAAGCCACAACTTGACAATGAGGAGACAGGCCACTGCAAAGTTGAGCACGGTATTAGAGTAATAAGATTAAACCATGTAGCTGCTCAACTAGGTCACGGTGTTCATGGCAGAGATCTGGATTTAAGAGACTTAAATTAACAATTTCAACGTTCTCAGCCCCCTCATTAAATTTTTGTCATGCTTTTCACCGCTCATTTGTACGTTGATCTCCACTGTCTTCAACTGCTTTCTGGATAACTGGATTTAACAATTGCTTTCAAAAGATGATTTAATCCATGTCAAAACATTAAAAAACCAGCAGTTTGGTGAATGTCACAAGAGCACCAATTCATTGCTTTAAATATTGATTTGGGAGGCAGTGATGGTTACAAGCACATCAGGCCCTTCTGCCTGTCACCAAAAGCCTGGATCATGCTGCCTCCTTCCCCCTCCCCTTCCTGCCTTTAGCCACCTGGGTGGTGGGGGGACTACTTACTTAACTTGAAGATCACAATTTCCTCAGGCTACTTGCAAAGGTGTCTAGGAAACTCAGCTGACAGGGCTCATCCTAGCCAAGCAGTGTGTCTTCCCTGAGCCCCTACTGTTCCAGGGTAAAACAAGGCAAAGAGGGAAGTGTGGGAGAGGGGCAGGCCACCCTATTTACCCAACAGACAGTGGGGGTGGTGTGAGTGTTAGGGAATGCTTATATGCTAGTTTATGTATGCAAATGAGACTCTGCTCACTTTTATTTATTTTTTAATTGAAGTACAGTTGACATGTAATATTTATATTAGTTTCAGGTGTACAGCATAGTGACTCGATAATTATATATGTTCCAAATGCTCACCAGGATGCACGGAGTTAACCTGTGTCACTATACTAAGTTATTACGATTTATTAACCATATTGCCAATGCTGTGCTTTTCATCACCATGACGTGTTTATTCTATAACTGGAAGTTTGTACCTCTTGATCCCCTTCACATATTTTGCCCATCCCCTTACCCCTCCCCTCTGGCAGCCACCAGCTTGTTCTCTGCATTTATGGAGACTGTAGACCCTTTACAAGATCAACAGAGAAAGAGAAGCTCTTTTCATCCCTATCCAGGCTGCTAGGATCTAGAATCCCACTGCGGGTAGCAGAAGCTCCCCTCTTTTGTCCCTGACAGAGCTGGGAGCAGAGTGGCCCTATGCCTTGCTCCAGGAAGAGTAACAAACTGAGGGTCAAGCACAGTACCACATAAAATGCACAGAGCTGCAGGGCTCCTGGGCTGCTATTAGCACACCTGGGCCCCTACCCTTTGGGACAATGTATAAGTTGCCCAGGCCTCTGCAGACCCCTCCAGTAATACATCAGGGGAAACATGAGCTCCAGGGATCTCCTAGCAGAGCCCATCCCTGCTAGCCCCTTCAGAACAAAGCAAGATCTCTTTCCCTTCAGAAAGGGTTGGGAAGCAGCCTTACGTGCAAAGCTTCTTGGGAGCCGAGAACTGTTGCATAGAGCTCACAGAGTTTCTTCAACCTACGGGAGGAGGTGCAAAGAAGACAAGTGTAAAAAGGAATACAGGAAGGACGGGAAAGAAAAAATAGAAGAGGTACCTCTCTCCTCATTCAAAAAGATGCTCTATCACTTTCACTTGACATTTAATTTTAATTTTTCAAAGCAAGGTACTTTGGTTCCGTTTCAGATGTCTTAAATCTATGAGGTAACAAACAGTATGAAAGGAAATGCAGTGATGTGTGACCTGTATCCCTGGGAGCATCTGGCAATTTGTTCATTCAAGGAAACTGTGTACCTCTTAAGTGTCCATCAGTCTGCTGAGTACTAGAGATTCTGGGAGGACCCAGACATGATCCTCGCTCTCCCCCTTCTTCCGACACCTGGCCAGGAGGAAGTCGATGGTCAGAAAGGAGGGAGCTGGAAAAGCTTTCAATTTTGCTTCTGGCTCTTACATACTGTGAGGTCTTGAGCAGGTTACTTACATTCTCTGAGCTTTAGTTTTATCAACAAACTGGCATGATTTTTTCATTAATGATGTACAACAGTGTGAGCCCCAGATCAGCAACAGCAGCAGCATCCAAGAACTTGCTGGAAATGCAAATTCTCAGGCCCCACCCCAGACCTGCTGACTCTGAAACAGCCTTGGCAGCAACTGTATTTTCACAAACCTTCTAGATGATTCTCACTTTTGGGCACCACTGATACAAAGCATATAAAGTTGCCAGCCCAATAACTGGTGTATAATAAATGCTCAGTAAAAGGGTAATTTAGTTTCATGGGGGACTTGGATATAAGCCAATAGTCATAATTAGTTAATTAAGGTATGAGATTATAGTTACTTCAAGTCTTATTTTTACAGAACAATAATGCTAAAGGGGATCTTACAGATGGTTTACGGTTAGGCAATGATTTTCCTAAGTATTACCATTTTAAATGCAGGAGCTCTTTCTCAAAGAAAATGCCTAATTTCCACTCCCGCCTTTCCTCTCTTCCTTCTCCTCTCTCCTTCTTCCCTTTTATCCTTCCTCTCCCCATCTTCCTCCACCTCCCTCCCTCTCTTTCTTTCTCTCTCATTTTTTTCTTTTTTGTTTCTTTCTAATTTGTTTTTACATAACTGGAATACTTTGGTACAGGCAGAGCAATGGACAGAGTGAGCAAAGAAATAAAATTAAATTCAGAAATAGAACCAAATGCAAAAGGGAACTTAGAATCATAAACGTGGGCATTTTAAACCTATGTCGAAAACACAGATTATTCAATAAAATGGCACTGGGACAAATGGTTACCCATGAATGAAACCAAGTTGGACTCCCACATGACTTCTTACACCAAAATACATTTCAGAAGGATCAAAGATCTGTACTTCACAGAATGAAACCATTAAAGTAATGGGAAAATGGGTGATTTTGGAAACAATCTTGGAACAGAAAAGTCTTTTCTATGCATGCTAGACCATTCAGAAGCCATGCTTTTCAAAACTGATAAACTTAGCATCATAAAGAGTTAAAATTGTATTATAATATAAAATAAATAAGCCATGAATGTAATCGAAAGACCAATTGGGAAAACATTTGTTCCAGGCACTGGAGATACAGTAGTGAACCAGCCACACCAAACTTCCTACTTCATGGATCTTAATATTTTAGTAGGCAGCCTTTTTAAGTAAGTGGCCCAGTGATACCTCCATGCCCCTGCCAGGCACAGTGGTGGCAGGAGTCATGGAGGAACTGGCTAATGGAGGACAAGAAATGTGCCATAATGTAATTCAGGGGCTCTTAGCTGGCAAATATGTTATCAGTGCTGGTGTGGGATAAATAATTGGCAGTGGTGAATACTAACTGCTGAGAGAAATTGCCACCTCCGGAGGAACGCGTCCTTCTGTACCTGTAACCGGTAATTGTTAGGCCTCACTCATGCAGGATGTACTGTAGACTGCCCGACAATGCAGTCATTGGTCTACCTGGTTATCTCCTTCCCAAGTAAATTTTCAGCCCCTGGGCTGTATCCATTTTTGTATTCTCCATAGCTCCTTGCATGTATCTTATGTACAATGAACTGAATAAATAGTAATTTGCTTCTTAAGTTATCAGCCCTGTGCCTTCATACAAACCCACATAATTAACATGACAGACATATAGGATGGGGAGTACACATTATTATGAGGCCATTTTTAAATTAAAAAGTTAAGTTAAACCAAAAGACAGGTCAGCTGGCAGAAAAGAAGGTAAGGAGAAAGAAAAGAAGGGAAGGAGAAGGAAGGAAGGAGGAAGGAGAGGAAGGGAGAGAACAGCAGAGGAAGGAAGGAAGGAAGGAATGGAGGAAGGGAGGGAAGAAAGCATCCCTTCTTTTTCTTACCTTTCTTCTTTGGTAAGACGTGCCAGTTTCCTGGCTTTGTGAGCAAGGATAAATCTAAAACATACAAGTAAGAAAAGGGGGCAGATTAATTCATCCTGGCCTCATTTGTATCGCTACACATTGCCCAAAGTACAAGTCAAAAGTTAGCCAGAAGAAACAAGTTACGTACTAGCTCATTTTGTTCCATGTTTAACTATTTGTTACATTCCTAACACTGATGGGGACCTTCCAGCTTCAGGGATTTTCAGGGGTAAAAACAAATGACTGGCCATAGTTTCTGCCTAGGGTAATACTATGACTGACATACCTCCCTCCACATGGCTGGTGGCCAACAAGAATGAGCCCTTGGTCTCGAATGCTCACCAAAGGTCTGAGCCTTTCCAATTTCATCCACCTTGCTCTTCTGTTCTAACTCAAGATGGTGTCTCCCTACTACCCACCCTTCTAGAATCCACCTCCCATTCTAGCCCTATGATTGCCTTCAACTTAACAACTGACTTTGATTTCTCTGTTCTGACCCTGGCTTTCTCTGAAATAAACTTGTACATACCCTAGGGCCCATCTCAATTTTGGCTGCTCCAGGTAACCACCTGTCCGGGCCAGGTTCTGACCATCAAGACACTCTCAGTCCGTGCTGGTCTTCCCTGACAGGTGGAGGACTGGGCTGGCCATGGCTCCTCTCTAGTGGGCCTTGAAAAATCTCAGCATCCCAGTGGTTAAGTATCACTGATGCCTGCACAGCCTTCATAGAAGCTCTTTTAGTAAAACACTTAAGTCAGGTGTTTAGACAATGCTTTCACAGAAGATAGCTCACCAAAACACATTGACCCCCAGCACTAAATGGGAAGCAGAAAATTAACATAACAAATTTAAAAATGTTATTGGTATTCTACTTCCTTTCTAAATATTTATTCATTGGAACACATTATTTTTTTAAAAAGCAGTAAGGGCTTTTCTGCTGCCAGATTTGGAGAATAGTGCCCTTGGATAAAAAGTTATTTAACAGAGTTTGGGGCACATTTATTAATAGTAGGGTAATTCTGTGTCAACACTGAATAGCACCCATGCCACCATAATTGTGCCTTACCCCATTATGGCAGGATAGCTGCCATCGGGTTTGGTATCATCCAACGTGTAGGCAATTGGAGTGTCCTCTCCTTCGATAATCATGGTTCCACAGTAATCTTGGAGAACATGGAGAAAATGGAAGAAGATACTCATCACCCCATCAAATACCCACACAACTTCAATGTGAAGCCCACATTTTTCAACTTGGGAAGCCCCAAAGCCAAGTGCTCTAAATATATACAGGCAAACCAAACTGATGTCAAAAGGGTGAGAAACCAACAATTTCTGAAAAAAGCAAACTGTAAGTCCCTCTCTGCACAGAGTAAAGCAATGTGATGTTATGAATTAATGCAAGCCACCATTTAATGAAATGTTGTTCTCCTTGCCATTGCTACTTGAGTCCCCTATTTCCTCTTTCAGAAGAAATCAGATAAGACCCAAGATGTGTAAAAGAAATACTAGTTTATTCCTATAAAACAGAAAGGACTGAACATTCACATGTTATGAGGAGCCACTTCTTCTCTGTTAACTACTGCTTGATTTTCTGGAGACAGGGAAGAGAGGACTAGAATGTGCTGTGTCCAAAACCTTCATTTCAGACATGACCTCCAGAACAACTGAGGAATCAATTTCAACTCATTCTGGACAAAACTGCTTCTCTCCTTTCTCTCCTGAACAAAACAGATGCAATTTCGACAAAAGACTGCAATAGAGCAAGGTGGGAATTCCAGGGAAGAATCTGAAATGTTATAATGCTATCCCAATAGAGTATACTACTACTCCTGCTCCATCATTTACTTGCAAATTTGAGGCTGTCTGAACAAAAATTATGGTGCAGGACTGTAGAACAAATGTTGTATAGAAAATCCAGTAAGAGGGTTTCAAATGAGCAAGGAAGAACAGAAAAAGAACTTTGAGGTTAGGCACCACCCTCAACCTGTGTGTGAGCAGACACACATCTATAGGCCTTTATGTCCACCCTTGCTTCTCCCTCTCTCCTCCCCTGTCTGTGTCCACTGTGCACCCAGGAGAATCCATTTCCCAGTCAGCCACTGGATGGAGGGGCACATGCATGCCCGTCAGGTGTGCAGGAGAAGGAAAAACACTAAACGACACTAAAAAAAAAAAGTATTGCTTCCGTTATTTTAAATGTAAGGTGATGTAAATTAGATTTAAGGGAAAGTGCAAATGGTGTGGATGAGCAAAGGCAAGGGAGACTGAAACGATTCAAGGCATTAGTAACAGCCTGCCCCCTCCAGGTGCATGTGGATGGAGCAAGGGCTGAGGTGGGTGTGACAGCCCCCGCGGGGGTGCTCATGGTGAGCAGGACTGCACTGAGGATGACTTGGTGGCAGGCCCGCAAATTCACAGATTAATTTGACTGAGTCATCAGTTTATAAGCAGTCAGGAAGTGTGCGGTGCTTCCTGTATCAACATGCAAAGTCACCTTCTACTAAATAACCTAAAGCATACTGCCCTTATGAAACAAAACAAAGCAAACCAGGAAAAACAGATCTTGAATGGTTGATTGCTGAGTGCCTTCACTGTACTAGGCTGTTTGGGGCTGCAAAATCCACCCTCTTTATCTCATTAGTCATATTCCCTGAGGCTTTTTTGTGTTACTTGTTAATTACAGTATAGTCACATTTCATTCCCTTATAGAATCCTTCAAAAATTGTCATTGAGTTGCTTATCAGTGTAACAGGAATCATAGCGGATGTGAGTTTTGGAGCCAAACTCAAAGCGTTGTCAGACAATGATGAGTTTACACAACCGCCTTCCTGGATTTTCTGGGTTAAGGGAACGTGCCTTTGAATTCCCATGGCTTAGTATGATGCCCGTCAATCAGTGCTCAGGAGTGGTCAGTTGAAGAAATACACTAATATAATAACTCGAAAGAAATTGAAAATGCTTTGGTGAGGCCCTCCTGTCTAAATCATTTTTTACAGTGTTATTCGAGGCTCATTACCAACAAGGACCAAGTCAGACCCAGCTTCTCCTTGGGGGTGGAGAACTTGAGTTGTCCTTCTGATACTAGTACCTACCAACGAACTAGCCTGGCACATAGCAAGCCTAAGATAAGGGTTGGCAGACACAAATGAACAGTTATAGATTCTCTCCACACATAAAGGCATTCCAAATCATTAGAGAGAAATCTCCATGCCACAGTCCTAACCCCTACTTACTTATCACCAGCCAACTATCAAAAATGGGTGGCCTGAGTCATAAGAGGAAGCCAGCTCTCCCAGTGGGTCCTTGCACTGTCCTTCGCAAAGGGTAGATTACTTCCTCAGCCGAGGCACCAATCTAGTAATAGTTCTAAATAGGATTTCCAGCAATGGTGGAGAATTAGGAGGCTGCAAGGTGGCTGAAAAGGGGCCCATACAGGAAGAACCACCCTGAGGTACAACTGTGAACTTCCCCCATTTGCCTCCAGCACAGTCTTCTGACTTCTGCAGTCTTCCTCCTTTCAGTCCCTCCTTCCCTTTGCCCTCACTCCCAGGTACTGACTGTTCTTACATGGCCTCCTTTTGGAAGAAAAGTCAATGTGAACAGAGTCCATGTGATAAGACTCTAGCATGGTGCTGTCTAATACAGTAGCCATGGGTATGGCTTTTCAACATTTGAATTTAAAGCAGTTAAAATGAAATAAAACTGAAAAATTGGGTTCCTTGATCTTGCTAGCTACATTTCAAGTGTTCGATACCCACAGCGGGCTAGTGGCTGCCATACTGGATGGAGAGGCTCTAGAATATTCCCATTGTTGCAGAATCTAGTACTTTAGCAGGCATCCCCACAATTCTCTCCCTGGAGAACAGCACACTTATTGAATATATATGTATAATAAATGAACTTCATTTAATACAGGAGAATCTGAACACTATTGGGAGACTGCCTGGAAATTTTCAGAATCCCTACCTTTGTGCATGGCTCTATTAACCCATACTTTTAAAAATTGTATTAGCAAAAATACTAATAACCTCTTTTCACAAGTTTTTGTGGCAGGATTCAATAAACTTTATACTGAATTATAAAAAGACTTGGTCACATTCCAATGGAAGTTAATTCCATGGGTTTGTGCCAATGCGTTTAATTTTCTAGACCTGTACTTAGAACCTAGACTAATGTTTCATGTGCAGTAGTCTAATAAAAAGTTACAAACAAATCAGTGTCTTTGCACCAAGCTTCTTGGACCTTCTTCTCCCAAAGGCCCTTATCTAAGGAAAGTACTCACCCTTCTTCCTCCAGAAGGGCTCTTTATAATAAACCATACACTTAATGACTGAACCCAAAGGCACACGAGTAATCAGCTGGTTTCTCAACATTGGCATAGGGGGATTGAAATGAATCTTCATGCCCAGAACAGGAGGAATAGCGCTAATCACATACTTAGCCTGGAAGGAAAATAACATGGTTAAACATGGTTGGTGGATTGGGTTTTTTCCCCTCATTTTATGCTTGTCCCGCTTCAAGTCTCTTCTTAACAGAGAAACTGGGAGAACTGTGATAAAACCAGATTTAGCCCATATTGTTCCCTTGTTCATAACCTCCAGTGGAGATGGAGTCAAAATCAAGTTCCTTAGACTCACCTCCAAGGCCACGCATGAAACAGACCTATGTAACAACTCTGATCTCATCTCCTGTTACTCTTCCCCTCACGAGTCTTAATTCTGCCATTCTGACCACTTCATTGTTCCTTCATCATGTCAGGCTTGCTCCTACCTCAGGGCCTTTGCACTGGCTGTTTGGTTTACCTGGAATGTTTTGACCCGAGAGCCACATGGTTCAACCCCTCATCTCTTTTGGTTCTGTGCTCAAATATCACCTTCTTTGATGACCTTATTAAAACTTGCATGACCAATCCTTCCGTCCCACCTCCTGGCACACCCTCTTCCCCTCCCCTGCTTGATTTTTTCCACAATACTTATCACTGCATAGCATACTCTATATTTTAAAGATACATTTGATTAGGCCTTTCTCCTTCACTAAAATATAAGCCACAAGAGGACAGAGAATTTTATCTGTTCTGTTCACTGCTCTGTTCCCAACTTTTAGAATAATGCCAGGCACATCAGAGTCACCTGATATTTATTAAGTAAATATTTCCATTGGATTTCTAATTATAGAGGAGTCCAATACAGGTTGATAATACATGTTTGTATAAATCTTCCCCCACCCTCAATATTGTGATTCTCTTTTCCTTTCTTTCAGATCGAGGTAGCTTTTTTACTTTTGGTAAAGGGATTATCTATGAAATCTGGAACATTCTCAGCTTTATTTAAGCTCTGGTTATCTATGGAATGCTGGCTTCTTTTCCATAGTTTAAGGCTCTTGGTTACCTCATACACTTCATGGTTTAGGGTTTCCACAAGGACATTTTCTCCCGTCTGGTCAATGTGGGTCACAGGCCTCTCCAGCTTCACTCGGTCCCCGAGAAGTTCCATTATCCGCTCGCATACTTGACCAGATCCGCCCACAAATTTCCTCTCCTGAAAAGAAAAAAGGACTCAAGAGGTGGGCAGGAAATTTAGAAACAAGCATCAGTTGTCAAGTTGCTGGTTTTCTCACGTATCTTTATGTGAGATGTATAAAATTCCATTTTGCTGTTCTGAATAGTATTTTTAACCATTGTTTCCTCCTAGGCTTTCTAACAAGGTGATTGTTAGGCTATGCTCTTGCACATTCCCAGCCTCCAACCTCAGCTGCACATCCTCAGCCTGACCCTCCTGTCCCACTTGCCCAGCCACTAGCCCCCTGCATCCTTTGGTTGGGTTGCTGGGTCCAGTGAAATTCTGCTTACAGCTCGGCCACCACTTGCCTGAGCTCACCTAAGCTTGCTTTCCCCCTTGTTACTCAGCCTTAGAACCTCATGGCCCCCCACCTCCAGGCCAGCCTATTCTCTGCTGCAGGCTGCCCAACTCACCCCAGGTCAGAAGCCTGCTGCTTCTGTGGCCAACAAAGTCACTTCACCTCACTGCCCCAATCTGTCCTGTCCCAAGCCCTGCTGACACTCCTGAATGTTCTGCATGGTTGTGCACACAGTTGAGTTGACTGCCTTCTCCTAAATTTTTAGTTCAGTTAACTTTTTTAAAGACTATTTCAAATGGGTCTGGGAAGAAGAAGGAAAAGGAGAAAAAGAAAGAGAAGAGGGAGAGGAAGAAGAGAAGGAGGAAAGAAGAAGGAGGGGCATAAGGAGGAAGAGGAGGAAAGAGGAAAAGAGAATAACTGCTAAACAGATTATCTAAGAACTCTAATCCACTCCCTACTGTGCCTAGCACGGTGCTTTATATAGTGCTGGGCCCAGGAAGGAGGGAATGAATGAATGAATTCCACGTGGGGTGTGTGTACATTTTAAATTGAACACGCATTTCTGACTTTTGTTTCTGAGCTTTCTGAGAAGTGCTCAAGCTATGTTTATTAGATGGTCTCCAACGAACTTACCAAATAATAATAAGGTATATATCCAAATGTAAAATTGCAAATGTACACAAAGAGAGATAAGACTAATCATACAATTACATTGGCTGCTGGGTTCTCACACTGGGGACCTAACAAGGGACTGTCCCTTACAAAAGCCACTTTGGGCTACCATGATAAAGTTCTAAAGGCCACAAACCAGCCCCCTGCTTCATGTGTTCATGATTGAAGGATGATGCATTTAGGCAGGGATGTTTTCTATGGAAATGGTGGAGGGATGGCTGCATACCTGCCCTCCATTGGTCGTTGAGATGATCCTGGTTGTACCCCCACACTGCTTCACATACCACAGGAACCAGAGAGCGGAGACCTCATGGGTCTCCGCAGTGACACACAGGTTCACAAAGAGAGAGGCAAACTGCTTCACAGATCTGTGCAGGAAGAAACAAGAGAAAAATTGGCAAGTGCAGGAGGGCATGTTCATTCTCTAGAAATTATTCAAACAATAAATTTACTTGGCCAAGTTTTGCACAATTTGGCAAGTTGCAGAGAATTGTCACTAGAATCTAGTATTATAAAATCAGAGCTTACAGGAATATGAGATTTACTTTCCCCTTAACCAAAGCACTTTATTCTGTGTTTTCCTTATTCTTGTGTTCCTTATTTTGCACTGTCATGATTTCTCCCCACACACCTGATACTCTTCTAGTGATTCCCATCTCTGTAAAAGGTATTACCATTTGCCCAGTTGCTCAGGGGCAACACTCTAGAAATCAGTCTAAATTTTTTTTTTCTATTACTCTCCCCCCATCCAATCCATCAGGAAGTCCTGCTGTCTCTCCCACATCACTCCACTTTCATCACCACTAATTTAGCATCATCCCTTGCCAGGAGTATTGCAATTATTTCCTCTCAACGGGTCTCTTTGCCTCCACTCATCTTCCCCTAGTATCTACTCACTACACTCAAAGCCAGAAACTTTTTTCCCGCTCCCACCTTCGTGCTCTTTCTAAAGTGTAAATCAAATCATGTCATTCCGAGGCTTAAAACCTCCCAGGGGCATCCCATCAGAACCACAATAAGATTTAGATCTTAGGGCTTCCAAAGCCCTAAGTGTTCTAGCCCATGCCTATATTTTATCCTGTACTCTGTCCACTTATTCTAATGTCTTCCCTGAAGGATGAACTCCTATATGTCTATAAAAATGAGCACCAGCTTCCATATTGTCAGTACGCTGGCATTCTCAATCATTTTACCAGAGTACAGTACCTTTAAAACTCTTTGCACTGTCTTAAATTATCTTGATTATTGGTTTATTATTTTCTATTGCTGTCTCCCTCACTATAATATCAACTAATGAGAGCAGAGGTCTTAACTTTCTTGATCACTAAAGCCAGTGTCCCCTTTAATAAAATAGCATTTTTGGCACAAAGTATCTCTGGCACATAGTAAGCACTCAACTATTGGACAACTGAATGAATGAATGGCTGATGAAAAATATCAATTGAACCTTATTTTTAAATTATCCACAATGTGCAAAGGATATGCTAGGTGCTGTTACCAAACACAGCATTAGTCACAGTTACCTATTTGGTTATTTTGCTGCCTACTGAAAGGCAAGCTAAAATCAGGATGAGGGGAAAAGGCGATTAACAGAGCATATAGGCAAACTCTTGCTTGGGGTTGGCAGGTTAGTGGTGAAAGGTTATATCCAATCTGGAGGCACACTAGACAGTGAATAGTCTCATGCCATTCCAATGACTTGGTTATCTCTAACACATCCTAAAATTCACCAGTAGTAATGTGTATTCAGGCATATCTTTAATAAAGACCAGTTTCCCTTTCAACTTAGTTTGCATGATGTTCATCTGGTTATACCTGAGGCAGGGTTTGCCACCCAGTAGTGCTGACAATAGATAGAATAAATAACACTATCTTCCATTTATTGAACTCTGTCAAACTCTGTGGTTTCTAAACCTATTATCTTATTGAATTATCATAACAACTCTATGAAAGAGTTATGTTATTTTTCCCCAGCCTGAACACTTTGAGTCTCAGAGAGGTTAGTAATATGTAAGTACACAGCTCTCTGAATGGTACAACTTCAAACCAGATCATACCTGATTCAAACCTCATGCTTTTTTTTTTGTAGGTTTTTTTTGTTTTGTTCTGTTTTTTTTTTTAAGACCATTATGTTTACTAGGCTCTCCCCTACCCCAAGTCCCCCCCCACAACCCCATTACAGTCACTGTCCGTCAGCATAGTAAGATGTTGTAGAATCACTACTTGTCTTCTCTGTGTTGCAAAGCCCTCTCCTTTCCCCCACCCCCCACATTATACATGCTAATCATAATACCCCCTTTCTTCTTCCCTGCCCTTATCCCTCCCTACCCTCCCATTCTCCCCAGTCTCTTTCCCTTTGGTAACTGTTAGTCCATTCTTGGGTTCTGTGATTCTGCTGCTGTTTTGTTCCTTCAGTTTTTCTTTTGTTCTTATACTCCACAGATGAGTGAAATCATTTGGTATTTGTTTTTCTCTGCTTGGCTTATTTCACTGAGCATAATACCCTCTAGCTCCATCCATGTTGTTGCAAATGGTAGGATTTGTTTTCTTCTTATGGCTGAATAATATTCCATTTTGTATATGTACCACCTCTTCTTTATCCATTCATCTACTGATGGACACTTAGGTTGCTTCCATTTCTTGGCTATTGTAAATAGTGCTGCGATAAACATAGGGGTGCATCTGTCTTTTTCAAACTGCAGTGCTGCATCCTTAGGGTAAATTTCTAGAAGTGGAATTCCTGGGTCAAATGGTAAGTCTATTTTGAGCATTTTGAGGAACCTCTATATTGCTTTCCACAATGGTTGAACTAATTTACATTCCCACCAGCAGTGTAGGAGGGTTCCCCTTTCTCCACAACCTCGCCAACATTTGTTGTTGTTTGTCTTTTGGATGGTGGCCATCCTTACTGGTGTGAGGTGATGTCTCATTGTGGTTTTAATTTGCATTTATCTGATAACTAGCAATGTGGAGCATCTTTTCATGTGTCTGTTGGCCATCTGAATTTCTTCTTTGGAGAACTGTCTGTTCAGCTCCCCTGCCCATTTTTTAATTGGATTATTTGCTTTTTCTTTGTTGAGGAGCGTGAGCTCTTTATATATTTTGGATGTCAAGCCTTTATCGGATCTGTCATTCATGAAAATATTCTCCCATACTGGAGGGTACCTTTTTGTTCTATTGATGGTGTCCTTTGCTGTACAGAAGCTTTTCAGCTTGATATAGTCCCACTGGTTCATTTTTGCTTTTGTTTCCCTTGCCTGGGGAGATATGTTCATGAAGAAGTCACTCATGTTTATGTCCAAGAGATTTCTGTCTATGTTTTTTTCTAAGAGTTTTATGGTTTCATGACTTACATTCAGGTCTTTGATCCATTTCGAATTTACTTTTGTGTATGGGGTTAGACAGTGATCCAGAAACCTCATGCTTTTTAATACTCAAAATGCCTTGTAAATGGTCTGCTAACAACCCTGAGAGTGCAAATACTCACCTAGGGACTCCTCTCTACTCTAGCATACCTTGACTCTGGAAGTTTGTTGAATCACACCTCCCACATACCAGTTACTGACAATGTTTGCAGCCATAACAACCTGACAGCACTTTTGTGATGGTCCTCATCATTTAGTCTGCAAATAGCATAATGTATCTGTTGAAGTGACTTAGACTTAGTTTTGCAAGATTTCTTGTGATACTGAAGGGATGGAAATTGCTGACATGTGCTGTCTTTGCAGAGGCCGTCTGCAACATCTCTCTAAATCAAATATCTGGACACTGGGTTAAAACACTGCTTCCAAATGAAAATATCCTCTGCTGTTTCCTGATGTCCTATTTCTTTTGTTCCTTATTTTATAGGGGAATTAGGGTGGCATAAGGTAAAGGGATAATAAATAATAAATAATAAATAACTAAAACTTAACATTGGCCCAGATTGACAGCCAATACTAGACATAAAAATATTGCTGCAATTCTCATTGTTACTGTTGCCAAATGGGTGGGAAAGAAAGAATCCTGGTTTGAAATGGAGGGAGATCAAAAAGTAATTCTCTCTGGAGGGCCAGGCCAGGTCTAAGCCTTTATTTAATTTACCCAGGGTGCTTTAGTGAGAAAAATGGGAAGAACAGTATCTGAAGGGTGGAAGGTCAAAGAAGCTAGTGCAATATTTTCACATTCTTTGCCCTGTTGACTTTTTAAAAGATAAGCATTATGTTTTTCTACATTAAAAATATATACATGGTATATAAAATCTGAAAAAATCATCAAATAAAAAGGTGGGAGAAGGAGTATCTTCCATATTTTTGCCTTCTAAAGGATAATGACTAGTTTCATTTTGGTGCATTTTTTTCTAGTTATAGGTTGTAGAAGGTGTATTTACAGAGCTTTGAGCACATTGTATATTTAATTTGTGTTTCTGAAAAGCACTTTATACATGATAAAAACTGAAGGCCTCCTCAACATTATTCTTTGAATATATAATGGTACTTTAGTTTGAGTAACCACAGATTGGATATTTTGGGGATTTCTTCCTTTCAAACCAGGAAATGATATCATATATATCTTGCTTTATAAAAGTTAGAAAATTACCTTGTGTTCATATATACCTAATATCTCAGAATGCCGTCTTTTGTCAGTCAACCACATAGAAGAGTCACTAAGGGGAGGACTAGGCCAAGGACTATGGTAGAGAAAGTCAGCTTTTTATGATCCCAAAGGAATACAATTAATTCTATCTTCAAGGAGCTTCCAAGCTTTACAGGGATAAAAGACTTAACTGAATCTATCAAAACTTTTCATTATGTAAGTTATAAAATAAATGCAGATAATTAAATAATGCATTTTGAAAATCCAATGTATAGAATTCACAAGTAAATACTGCAATTTTATTATAATCAGAATAAGTTGTATTGTAAACTACATTCTCAAAAAAAAAGATGGTAAATAGCATTAGATAAGTGTTAAAAAGGCTATAATTAATAATAGGCATTGATTTCATACCCATAAAAGGATTGTACTATTCCAAAATTGGTTGCTTTCAAAGGCTGAAGACATTAGAAAAACATAAAGCTGTTTATCACAGAGTATTATATAATTATAATAAATATGAAAAACTGGAACTAACCACAATGTCCAACAGGATGACAGTGGATAAATATATTTATGGTGTTCACTTTCCATGGAATATTCTGCAACCGTGGAATGCGATGTTTGATGGAACATTTGTAATGGCATGAATAAATGTTTTCATTGCAACATTAGGTGTTTAAAAACATTTTGGTGGGTGCCATTGCTTTTGCAGTGCATATACAACAGTTTCCTTTTTAAAAAGGAGATCATATGTCATACTGTACCTACTCCATGACAGCCTGCTTTTCTATGTGTTTAGTATTATAATTTCTTTCAAGCCATTAAATACTCTTCTACAACATGATTTGAAAAGACTGTAGTGTTCCATTTTCATGGATGTCCCCTAATAAATTTAACCAATCTTCTATTATGAGACATTTAGATTTTTCCTTTTAAAAATAATGCTCCTCTTTTTCTTCCTCCCCCTTCCCCATATGCCCTTCCCCTCTCTTCTTTTCTCTCTCCTTCTTTAAGCTAAATTCTAAGACTTAATTTGCATATCAAGAAGTATGTAAATTTTGTCTAGATTATTTTCATATCTTAGATTCATATATCCTAAAACCTTTTTCTTTTATTTTCAGTTTTCAATGCCCCAGCTTCCCTCCCCAGTGCCTAGAGAAGGAAGACATCAACCCCAGAGCCAAACATATTTCCCACAAATGCTGTTTAGTATGGCAGGACAGACTCCTTGAACCTGGCTTCCATTTCTCTTACTTTCTTTGCCACAAATTCACTATGTGCTTGGACTGAAACCCTTACACTCCTTTCCTTTTTTTCTACTGTCCAGGAGCACTGAGGCCTTTTCCACGCTGTCTGCCTGTATATGTAATGCTACCTGCCTCTGCAATGTATATATAGTCCCCAGCTCTGCCAACCAGAATTTAATGCTTGACTCATGAATACGTGCTTTCAATGCTGCCTGTTTGTCAACAAAGAGGAGCTGTTGGTCCCATTGTGAATAATCCAGAGAACTTCTCTAGAAATTTCTCTTCAAATCCTTAAGAGCTGTACCCCATCCCATAAGGTGTTTCAAGTGCATTTGCACCATCTCTACACTCAACCACCAGTGAGGAGTACGAAGTATTCCTACATCAACAACTTGACAAATGAGATCTTCAAACTGATGGTCTTTAAGCTGTTCAAAATAAAGAAGGCAGCACACTGTTCTGAGGACCTTATGGTGTAACATCATCCATGATGCAAAACTATTCCCAAGAAGTGGGTTCAATGTGTGGACATCTTTAGGGCAGGACCCAGCTCCAAGATTTTTAGCATTCCACCAGGCCAAATGGTGCGGGTCTTAAACGCAAAGTAGCTATTTTTCCCACACCGTTGGCTAGTATTGTTAAGTAAACCTGAAAGAGAGTCACAGTACATGCCAGTGCCTAGTGGAGAGTCTTACTCAGTCCAGCAGATCTTGTCCAGCAGCTCCTTCATTGTCATGTGGTCCCACTCTTCTGCAAGGGGCGCCTTCCATGGAGCGTCACTGGGAATCTACAATTCACATGAGGTCAGAAGGGGAAAACAACTGTAACTTTGTTTTTTAATAACTCTTTCAATAGAATTAAAAACTCCAACTTAAAGAAGGAAAAAGGTAAGTTTTCAAAATTCCCTCAGGTGAATTTTACTGCACAACTACGACGGTCTGTGTCACTTTCTTCTTAGAGCTCTATACCATTCTATCCATATTGAACTTATGGTAACACTTCCTGCATGATAAATGGAGCCAATGTCGTAACTGGCTCTTCCCAAACATCAATGCCTAAGTTACTAACTTAGAGAGAACATTCATAAATTCAGCTCTTTCATAAGGAACAGACAGCTGCATCAAACCATAGCCAGATTGGAGTTTCAGGTCAAGCTCTATGTGTGTTTCCTTATGCTCTGCAGGTTTGGGGATGGTGGTGACTCAAACACCCAGAAGTCCTATCTTGCTATGACTGGAGGATTCTCTAAATTAGAAACATCATCCCAGGAAGACTGACAGATAAATGATCTTCTCTCCCCTCATCAGTAGTACACAAATAGCAGTCTGTTGGACATCTCTTTCTTTTAGAGGTTAGAAGCAAGTTCATTCATTCATTTCATGAAATCTTTACTGAGAAATACTATGTACTAAGCAGTGTGCTAGACACTGCTGATACACTGTGCTGTCTTTCTTTTAAGGACTAAACTTATCATGAAAAATACAAACATAGTCAAAGAAATTTCAGGGAGCTTTACCTCTCGTCCCATGTCATCCATTGTCCTCCAAAAGTTGTTATGATCAAGGCAGACAATTGGATTCCACATAGGTGGGAATGGGCCCCTGAAGGGGTATGATTTGCCCTATGAGATACAAAATATTTTTAAAAAGAAACATTTACTACAAGGTAAAAGTAGTGAAATCTGCCAAGTAGGTAAATGTCTGCAGGCAAAATCATGTTATCAGTATGTGAGATACACCTAAGTGTTTTGGTTCCTTGTGTCCTCAGAACCCCACTTACCTTTTCAGCATAGAGATTTCCAGCAAAATTCTCTGTTATCTACATAAATTTGGTGCCACAACAAACACAATGAAAAGGTTACCTTCTGAAATTGGAACACTTTTATCATGTAAAATTTAAATGCCAGTACTGAAGTGGGATTACCTAAAGTAATCTCATTTGCCAATGATACTTGCGAATGTCTCAGTGAGGTGGGGAGGCCTTGTGAGCCTGGAGGGTCAGAAAATTACAACCATAAACATCATATAAGTCAGAAGGGGATGAAAAACCAATTGCAGGAATGCAAGCATCTTAAGGAAAAGCCACAGAACAAAGCACTGCAAGCTTTCCCCAGGAATCAAATGTGCTAGGTTAACATAGCAGCAATGCACGAGAGTTCTGCTTGCTCCACATCCTGACCAACACCTGCAGAAGTTTCTTTTATGCTTTAAATACACTTTTTATTTTAGAATGATATTAGATATGCAGAGATAGCACAGAAATTTCCTGTGTATCTCTCACCTAGTTTTCCCTAATGTTAGCATTGTACATTATCATGGTATATTTATCAACACTAGGAGATTGGCCCTGGTACATTGCTGTATATTTACTTTCTACTTTATTCAGACTTGAACAGTTTGTTGACTAATACACTTTCTCTGTTGCAGGGTTCCACACAGGGTGCCACAGTGCATTTATTATGAGGTCTCCTTATTTTTCTCTAGCCTGTGACAATTTCTCAGTCTTACATTGTTTTTCATGACCTTGATAGTTTTGAAGAACATTGATCAGGTATTTCATATCACATCCCTCAATTTGGATCTGTCTGAAGTTGTTTCCATTTTTTTTTTTTTTGGTGTGCCCTTAGTTCACTTTTTTTTATTTGGGTATTATTGATATACATTCTTATGAAGGTTTCACATGAAAAAACAATGTGGTTACTTCATTCACCCATATTATCGTGTGGCCCCCCCATACCCCATTGCAGTCACTGTCCATCAGTGTAGTAAGATGCCACAGAATCACTATTTGCCTTCTCTGTGCTACCCTGTCTTCCCCATGATCCACCCCACACCATGTGTGCCAATCATAATACCCCTCAATCCCCTTCTCCCTCCCTCCCCATCAGCCCTCCCCCAATCCTCCCCTTTGGTAACCGCTAGTCCCTTCTTGGAGTCTGTGAGTCTGTTGCTATTTTGTTCCTTCAGTTTTGCTTCGTTGTTACACTCCACAAATGAGGGAAATCATTTGGTACTTGTCTTTCTCCGCCTGGCTTATTTCACTGAGCATAATATCCTCCAGCTCCATCCACGTTGATGCAAATGGTAGGATTTGTTTCTTCCTTATGGCTGAATAGTATTCCATTGTGTATATGTACCACCTCTTCTTTATCCATTCATCTATGGATGGACACTTCTTGGCTATTGTAAATAGTGCTGCAATAAACACAGGGGTGCATATATCTTTTTGAATCTGAGAAATTATATTGTTTGGGTAAATTTCTAGGAGTGGAATTCACGGGTCAAATGGTATTTCTATTTTTACTTTTTTGAGGAACCTCCATATTGCTTTCCATAATGGCTGAACTAGCTTACATTCCCAACAACAGTGCAGGAGGGTTCCCCTTTCTCCACATCCTTGCCAGCACTTGCTGTTCTTAGTCTTTTTGATACTGGCTATCCTAACTGGTGTGAGGAGATATCTCATTGCTGTTTTTATTTTCATTTCCCTGATAATTAGCAATGTGGTACATCTTTTCATGTGCCTGTTGGCCATCTGAATTTCTTCTTTGGAGAACTGTCTGTTCATATCCTCCACTCATTTTTTAATTGAGTTATTTGCTTTTTGGGTGTGAAGGTTTGTGAGTTCTTTATACATTTTGTATGTTAACCTGTTGCTGGATATGTTGCTTACAAATATATTCTCCCATACTGTAGGATGCCTTTTCGTTCTGATGATGGTGTCTTTTGCTGTACAGAAGCTTTTTAGTTTGATGAGTCGCATTTGTTCATTTTTGCTTTTGTTTCCTTTGCTCAAGAAGATGCATTCAGAAAAAGTTGCTCATGTTTATATTCAGGTTATTTGCCTATGTTGTCTTCTAAGAGTTTTATGGTTTCATGACTTACATTCAGGTCTTTGATCCATTTCAAATTTACTTTTGTGTATGGGGTTAGACAATGATCCAGTTTCATTCTCTTGCATGTAGCTGTCCAGTTTTGCCAACACCAGCTGTTGAAGAGGCTGTCATTTTCCCATTGTATGCCCATGGCTCCTTTATCATATATTAATTGACCACATATGCTTGGGTTTGTGTCTGGGCTCTCTAGTCTGTTCCACTGGTCTATGCATCTGCTCTTGTGCCAGTACCAAATTGTCTTGATTACTGTGGCTTTGTACTAGAGCTTGAAGTTCGGGAGCATAATCCCCCCAGCTTTATTCTTCCTTCTCAGGATTGCTTTGGCTACTTGGGGTCTTTTGTGGTTCCATGTGAATTTTAGAACTACTTTCTCTTGTTTCCTGAAGAATGCTGTTGGTATTTTGACAGGAATTGCATTGAATCTGTAGATTGCTTTAGTCGGGATGGCCATTTTGACAATATTAATTCTTCCTATCCATGAGCACGGGATGTGTTTCCATTTACTGGTATCTTTAATTTCTCTCACGAGTGTCTTGCAGTCTTCAGAGTATAGGTCTTTTACTTCCTTGGTTAGGTTTATTCCTAGATATTTTATTATTTTTGATGCGATTGTGAAAGGAATTGTTTTTCTGATTTCTCTTTCTGCTAGTTCATTGTTAGTGTATAGGAATGCAACAGATTTCTGTGTATTAATTTTGTATCCTGCAACTTTGCTGAATTCAGATATTAGTTCTAGTACTTTTGGAATGGATTCTTTTGTTTTTTTTTATGTACAATATCATGTCATCTGCAATGACAGTTTAACTTGCTCTTTACCAATCTGTATGCCTCTTTTTTCTTTGTGTTGCCTGATTGCTGTGGCAAGGACCTCCAGAACTATGTTGAAAAAAGTGGGGAGACTGGGCATCCTTGTCTTGTGCCCGAACTTAAAGGAAAAAATTTCAACTTCTCACTGTTAAGTGTAATGTTGGCTGTCAGTTTGTCATATATAGCCTTTATTGTGTTGAGGTACTTGCCCTCTATACCTATTTTGTTGAGAGTTTTTCTCATGAATGGATGTTGAATTTTGTCAAATGCTTTTTCAGCATCTATGGAGATGATAATGTGGATTTCATCCTTCTTTTTGTTGATATGGTGGATGATGTTGATGGATTGTCGAATATTGTACCATCCTTGCATCCCTGGAATGAATCATACTTGATTATGATGGATGATCTTTTTGATGTATTTTTTAATTTGGTTTGCTAATATTTTGTTGAGTATTTTTGCATCTGTGTTCATTAGCATGATGCTGGCCTCACAGAATGAGTTTGGAAGTATTCCCTCCTCTTCTACTTTTTGGAAAACTTTAAGGAGAATGGGTTTTAGGTCTTCACTAAATGTTTGATAAAATTCAGCAGTGAAGCCATCTGGTCTAGGACCTTTGTTCTTAGATAGTTTTTTGAGTACCAATTCAATTTCATTGCTAATAATTGGTCTGTTCAGATTTTCTGTTTCTTTCTGTGTTAGCCTTGGAAGGTTGTATTTTTCTAGAAAGTTGTCCATTTCCTCTAGGTTATCCAGTTTGTTAGCATATAATTTTTCATAGTATTCTCTAATAATTCTTTGTATTTCTGTGGTGTCTGTAGTGGTTTTACCTTTCTTATTTCTGATTCTGATTTTGTTTGTAGACTTATTTTCTTGATAAGACTGACTAAGGGTTTATATATTTTGTTTATTTTCTTGAAGAACCAGCTCCTGCTTTTATTGATTCTTTCTGTTGTCTTATTCTTCTCGATGTTATTTATTTCTGCTCTAATCTTTATTATGTCCCTCCTTCTCCTGACTTTGGGCCTCATTTGTTCTTCTTTTTCTAGTTTGACTAATTGTGAGTTTAGACTGTTCACATGGGATTGTTCTTCTTTCCTGAGGTAGACGTGTATTACAATATACTTCCCTCTTAGCACGGCCTTCATTGCATCCCACAGATTTGGTGGTGTTGAATTATTGTGGTCATTTGTCTCCATATATTGCTTGATCTCTGTTTTTATTTGGTCATTGATCCATTGGTTATTTAGGAGCATGTTGTTAAGCCTCCATGTGTTTGTGGGCTTTTTCATTTTCTTTGCATAATGCATTTCTAGTTTCATGCCTTTGTGGTCTGAGAAACTGGTTGGTACAATTTCAATCTTTTTCAATTTACTGAGGCTCTTTTTTGTGGCCTAGTATATGATCTATTCTTGAAAATGTTCCATGTGCACTTGAGAAGGATGTGTATTCTGGTGCTTTTGGGTGGAGAGTTCTGTAGATGTCTGTTAGGTCCATCTGTTCTAATGTGTTGTTCAATGCCTCTGTCTCCTTATTTTCTGTCTGGTTGATCTGTCCTTTAGAGTGAGTGGAGTGTTGAAGTCTCCTAGAATGAATGCATTACATTCTATTTCCCCTTTTAATTCTGTTAGTATTTGTTTCACATATGTAGGTGTTCCTGTGTTGGGTGCATAGATATTTATAATGGTTATATCCTCTTGTTGAATTGACCCCTTTATCATTATGTAATGACTATTTTGTCTGATACAAGTACTGCAACACCTGCTTTTTTCTCCCTTTTTTTTGCATGATATATCTTTTTCCATCCCTTCACTTTTAGTCTGTGTATGTCTTTGGGTTTCAAGTAAGTCTTTTGTAGGCAGCATATAGTTGGGTCTTGTTTTTTTATCCATTCAGTGACTCTATATCTTTTGATTGGT